AAAGATAATATAGAGTATATAGATATTTGTGGCTGTTTGCGGCTAACTGAAGCAGTGTTACGAGTAGGAATGTTACACATAAAAAAAATCTGGGCTGATACCATATAAGGAAGGCTATGTAAATGAAGCATACACATTTTTAACGCGATTAACGCAGAGTTTAAGAGGTTTTAAATACTTAGACAAAGGGAACACATGACAAAACCAACCAATGACCAAACACAAGTAAGGAACAGGAATCAATGAATAAACAGAACAGATAACCACATGACAAGACAATGAACCAATGAGAACAAGACACGTGGACTAAAGGAACACATGCGGGCAAGGATGGCAGCAAAATTACAAAATAAAAGACATGGAAACATGAACACAAAACAAAACCCAACGTGACGGATTGGTTCACGTCTGTGTACCTACACAGACAAATGGCATTTCAGCCCGCCATAAAGGGCAGTGTTGACTGCCTATAAAAGTCACGCTGGAATACCATATCGTCAGAATATTTCGACTGAGAAGCGTCTAGCATGTCTCACTGTGTCATGTGGAAGCACGGCAAGCTACGCAATACTCGTTCCCATTATCTGAGGAAACCACAAATGTTCCCTGTTGATACGGTTCACTTCACATTACATCAGTTCACTGAAGCTTATAGGGAACTGAATCCAATAGTGCTGTGCTATTAGCTCAGAACGGAAGCCGCTCTATGAGCGAAAAGCTTAGGGGCGTTTGTTCAAGGGCCCCATGATCTGCTGCATAAAGTGAGGCTCAGGGCCTGGTTGCATGAAAGCCCTTAAGCCAAGAAATCCCTTAGTTATAAGGTTAAGGGAGACCTTAGTGAAACTTGGGTTGCAAGAAAAAAACCTAAGGGTCAACTTAAGGAACCTTAAGGCTGCCATTAAGTATTCCCCTTAATTATTTAAGTGTTCCCTTAAGTTTTGCTACAAAGTCCTTAGTAACCATTTCACCTTAATACATTTAAGGGACCAAAAGAGCTCCCTAAAGTCATCTTAAACTCAGTATCTGCAGGATTTTTAAACTCAAATGCAAGACTTAAGACATTTTTCAAGACCAAATGCACAAATAAAATATATATGAGCACAGTAGGGCAATGACTATGGTAACATTTTAACTGTAAAATGACTGTAAAAAGCATGACTTAAAGGTTTTCACAAAACAAAAAGTTTTAAGTAAATGGACGAGTCGTATCAATTATGATATCAATTTAAACAATTATTATTAATCAATGATTACATTAATTAAATAACAATATATATACTTTGTCTCAATTGTTTAGATTTTTATAATGCATTATCTTGTCGATCCACCTGTTCACATTTACAACTCGTTACAAGGCGTCAAAACATGGGTTAATTTTCACATTTGGTAAATTTTCCGTCATTGGTCAGCAGGAGGCGCTTTCACTGCAGAAACAAAGCGGTTTCCTCGGTAACGACTGTAAACAAAGCAGAAACAGGCAGCGCTCATGTTTATTTAATGTTTGTCTGTGTTTTAGTTGGTTAGGTTTGTATTTCATTATGTTCTGTTTATTGTCATAGATATGTATACATATCTGTTTATTGTGAGATGTAGTAACTACAGTAACCGCGGCGCCCATTGCCGTATGTTGCCAGAAACTACAGTGGAACGCTTAGTATAAACACTTAGGTAAGGGTGACAGTTAAGATGTTTGTTGCAAAGCTCCTTAAGAAATCCCTTACCTCAGGGATTTTTCCCCCTCAGGGTTACGCCTAAGTCAAATTACTTAAGGACTTTCATGCAACCGGGCCCAGATTGCGGATGGAGTCTGACTACACATTGTACAAGCAAGAAATCCACATCCGCCTGACCAAAGGAATGCCATTTCACACTGACCATCTGGGGCTGGAGTCTCCATTCCCCAGGGGTTGGTCCACCACATGACAGCATGTCAACTCCTACGTTTGAGGAGTCCGGCACGTGAACCGCCCTCACCAAGTGGAGGTTCTTCTGTGCCCAAAGGAGAAGTCGGCAAACCAATATGTGCAGAAGGCGAGACCTGAGACCTCCTTGGAGGTTTATAAAGATCACCACCATCCTGTTGTCCAAGCGGACAAGGACGTGATGATCTCTGAGTTCCAGTTAGAACTCCTTAAAGGAGTCAAGAACTCCCTTTTTTATTTTGTACTCTTCTCTGAGGTCCACTTATAATGTTATCAAGATCAAAAAAACATCATAATTGAGATGGCTATTTTCTGTCCTGTTTTGACCCCTCATCAGAACGCTCTGTTTGAATAGTCGTGGCAGATCGTAGACTCAGAAGTATACGCCCACTGCTATGACTGGCTAGCAGTTGTGTTTGTTTGACAGCCGACATCCTTCATAGATGCACGCTGCTGTGATTTAGGTTAAAAATGCATGAATACTCAGAACATATCAAACGATCTATAATAACAGACAAAGCAATAGTGACCACGTAATAAAAACAGTTTCGTTAATAACAGACAAAGCAATAGTGATCACGTAATGAAAACAGTTTCTCACACTCGTGTGGTGCGACATTACTGTCAGATCCAATACAGTCGCACAGCATTGTCTTTTAGATTCAATCTTTCTGAAAATCCTGCGTCAAATTGTGCTTTGTTTACAAACGAATCCGTGGTAAAATGAAGTGAACAAAGTACAGAGTTCTTACTGACGCAGTCTGCAACTTCATTAAAAATAAGGTTTATCATCTTTCCTAATGTTGGGATCAGAAGGAAGGCGATGCAAAGACTGTGTTTTTCCACAGCTTGGCACTCTTGTTGTCTTCGGAGCATCTTTATAGTTTGGTTTCTGCGTAGACCTGCGTTTGCCTCTCTCGTTATTTCACTAGTGTGTGAATCAGTGGGCGAGGCTAAACAGGCAGTGATGTAGAATAATTTTGATTTCTCAGTTCATGACCCCTTTAAAGGCCAAGATCACGTCCATAATTTCTGCCATTTGGACATCACCTTGACATAATCACCACTGATAAATTACTCCTAATTGTAATGTAGAAACTTTCATTTGCTGTAAAGCTGCTTTGCAACGATGTGTATCATGAAAAGCACTATACAAAAATGGCTGCCCACTGCTCCGGGTGTGTGTTCACTGCTGTGCACTTTGGATGGGATAAATGCAGAGCAGATCCCAGGTGTGTCTCGTCCTCTCCTCATCCTGTCATGTGTTTAAATAGTGTTCCCTGTCTTTAGTTCAGCGTATTGTTCATGTATAGCGTGAGTGGTCCGTGTTCCTTGGTGTCAATTAAACCCATTTGGATCTATGTACTCCTCGTCTCTCTCCGTTCCTTGCTCCTCACCCCGCTCAGCAGTGCACTCATGACAGAATACCGGACCGATACAGAAAGTGAGCGGCGCCTTTTTCCCCCCCGTTTGTTTTTTGGCTTTTCTGAAAAGCGTTTTGTTTTTGTTTTTTCCCGTGCGTCTCTCCCCACCATAATGGAGGAACGAGCACTGTTCATCACAGTGGCTCAAGCGAGCCCAGACCCCATCGTCTTCGCGAGGGCGTTTGTGCCGCTCGCCCTTGCCAGCTCCCTCGAGGGGGAAACCCTCGCTGTTCCGGATCGGGATGACGTTCCATCATCCCACGGAGGTCCCAGACACGACCGACCTCGACTGGAAGGAGACAGTCATCTGGTGTCTGGAGAGTCTCCGATCCCGATCCGGAACCCCTCTGCCGGCAGTTCCCAAGTCAATTCAGCCAGCTGTTAATATGGCAAGTCCACTGAACATTAATGTGGCAAGCCCGCCGGATGTCCATGTGGAGCTCGCTCCAGTGTCGGCTCCAGCCCCAGAGCTCACTCCAGTGTCGGCCCCAGAGCTCGCTCCAGTGTCGGCTCCAGCCTCCTAAACTACCTGCTCCACCATAGCCTCCCGAGTCCCCTGCTCCGCCATGGCCTCCCGAGGCTCCTGATTCGCCATGGCCTCCCGAGGCTCCTGAGCTGCCATGGCACCCCGAACGGGTACCGCTCTGGAGGCCCGCCGTCCCGTATCTGTCCTGAGGGACCTCCAGAGTGCCCACCCCCCCCTCCCCGTTGGATGTTGTGTGGCGCGAGGACGCGCCTTCCGGGAGGGGGGAGTAATGTCAGACTCTTTTC